TATTCTGTTTGTTACAGTCTTCCTGTCAACTTCCTAGTGACGGACACACAGCAGACTCCTGCCTCTCTTGCTCAGGTAATCGCTTTTTGTCACATATCACTTACCTTACTTCATTGTCTTTTAAATTTATTTTAAAAAGGTGAGCTTTGAATGTCTGTTATTTTCATTTATTAATTTTGAAAAAAATATATCAAAGCATGTTTTACATTTTGAAAGCAAATACCTCGCTATCCTCAATTCACTCTTACCAACAACAGCCATAGCAGAATATATAAGTGAAAGACAAGGAGGCAGCAACCATAAACAATGGGCTACAGGTAACATAGGGTTTAATTTGGCTGGGAAGAGACACCATAGCCACATCAACTCTTAAAAGTTAAATATTTAACTCTGGTGGCTTACTTACAGTTTCAGAGGTTAAGTCAATTATCACCGTGGCAAGGAGCACAACTGCATGCAGGCCAACGTGGTTCTGCGAGAGTGATGCAGGTTGTACTTAGGAATATATAATGAAAAAGGGAGAGCATATTCAACAAATGGTGCTGGTATAACTGGATATCAACATGTAGAAAAAGAAAAATACAACCATGTCTATCACCATGCACAAAATTAAAGTCCAAATGAATCAAAGACCTCAACATAAAGCCAGCCACACTGATCCTCATAGAAGAGAAAGTGGAAGTACACTTGAGCACATTGACACAGGAGACCACTTTCTAAATATAACCCCAGTAGCACAGACACTGAGAGAAACAATTAATAAATGGGACCTCCTGAAACTGAAAAGCTTCTGTGAAGCAAAGGACATGGTCAACAAGACAAAATGGCAGCCTACAGAAAGGGAAAAGATTACCAACTCCGCATAGCACATAGGGCTGATCTCTAAAATATAAAAAGAACACAAGAAATTGGTCATCAAAAGAACAAATAATCCAATAAAAATGTGGTACAGACCTCAACAGAGAATCCCAACAGAAGAATCTAAAATGGCTGAGAGACACTTAGGGAAATATTCAACATCCTTAGTCATCAGAAAAATGCAAATCAAATCAACTTTGAGATTCCAATTTACACCTGTAAGAATGGCCAAGATCAAAAACAGTGATAACAACTTGTGCTGGAGAAGATGTTAGGTAAAGAGAACACCCCTCCATTGCTGGTTGGAGTGCAAACTGATACAGCCTTTTTGGAAATCAGTATGTTGATTTCTCAGAAAATTAGGAAACAATATACCTAAAGAATCAGCAATACCACATTTGGGTATATACCCAAAGGAAGTTCAATCATACCACAAGGAAATGTGCTCAACTATGTTCATAGCAGCATTATTCATAGCCAGAAACTGGAAACAACCTAAATGCCCCTTGACAAAAGAGTGAGTGAGGTAAGCCAGACCCAAAAAGAGGAACATGGGATGTACTCACTCATATTTGGTTTCTAGCCATAAATAAAGGACATTGAGCTTATAATTCATGTTCCTAGAGAAGCTACATAAGACGGTGATCCAAAGACAAACACATAGGCATCCTCATGAATATTAACCTTTATCAGGCGATGAAAGGAGACAAAGACCCACAAAGACCCACATTGGAGCACCGGACAGACATCTCAAGGTCCAAATCAGGAGCAGAAGGAGAGGGAGCACGAGCAAGGAACTCAGGACAGCGAGGGGTACACCCACACACTGAGACAATGGGGATGTTCTATTGGAAACTCACCAAGGCCAACTGGCCTGGGTCTGAAAAAGCATGGGATAAATCCGGACTAGCTGAACATAGCGGACAATGAGGAATACTGAGAACTCAAGAACAATCGCAGTGGGTTTTTGATCCTACTGCACGTACTGGTTTTGGGGGAGCGTAGGCAGTTTGGATGCTCACCTTACTAGACCTGGATAGAGGTGGGAAGTCCTTGGGCTTCCCACAGGTCAGGGAACCCTGATTGCTCTTCGAGCAGATGAGGGAGGGGGACTTGATCGGGGGAGGGGGAGGGAAATGGGAGGCAGTGGTGGGGAGGAGGCAGAAATCCTTAATAAATAAATAAATTTTAAAAAAAAAGAAAAATGAGAAAAAAAAGATGTGATACATTTATACAATGGAGTACTACATAGAAGAATAAAATAATGACATCTTGAAATTTGTGGGCCAATGGATGGATCTAGAAAACATCATATTGAGTAAGGTAACCCAGACAAAGGAAGACAAATATAATATGTACTTGCTCATAAGTGTCTTTTAGACATAGAGACAAAAACAGCAGATAATTCACAATCCAAGAGAATCTAGACAACAAAGAGACCATTTATCTAATGTACATGGGAAGTAAAAAAAAAAAAAAAAGACAAATCTGAGAAAATTGAAAGCCTTGGAATTGGGAGGGAGGATAAAATGAGAATGGGGACGAAGGAAGGGGAGCAAAGAAAAATATATATAGTTCAATAAAAACAATTTTAAAACATTAATGTGTGTGTATGTTTGTGTTTATGTCAGGAATTTGGAAGTGATCAAGGGGAGGCATATGAGGTGTATTGTGGTGTTCAGAAGAAGTAAAGGGAAGAATGAAATGGTATAATTGTCTTATAATCCACCAATTATAAGAAATAATAAAAATTAAATATGAACAAAAACATATAAACGTTTTAAGGGCAAATTTTAGATTTTTCTCAAATGCATCACAGAGGTTTCATTTTGTAAAGAACAGAAAGAATCTATCAAATCAGTTCTAATGATTTAATAAAGATTCCTCAGATTCTACAGTTTCATAGGTTCCATAAATAAAAGTATCATTGTCTGAGGCATGCTGGTGTTCACCTAATCATAATTTCTGGGAGTATCTCAAGCAACAGAGATTCTCCTATTCTTTTATCTTTAAGGATCAAAATGTTTTAATTTGTGGTACATTCTGATTCATTAGAAGTGGTTGATCTTTGTGAAAAAGTTTCTGCAATGTCCATTGGTAGATCTTAACGTTTATCTTATAATGCTTTTGTTGTTTTCACCAAGCACAATGCTCCATCAATTAGATCTGTTTATTAGTATAATCCAAGCACTTGAAATAAACTTTGGCTCCAATCTACTTTTTATATAACAATTCTGCATGCTCTTGATCAATAACTAAGCTCGGTTTCCATTGTATATTTGTAGATTTAGTAGATATTGTTCATGGGTAATAATATAGTTCACTTGTAGAATGCCTGTCTAGCACTCATAAGGCCCTAAGATTTACATTCAGCTTTCCAAATTAAATAAAATTAAAACTTGGGGTTGACAACCAGAGAGTTCTTCTCCTTATGGCTTTAGTGTTCTTCAATAAAAATGACAACATTGGATAGGGAGATAGCTAAGCAGATACATTCCCAGCTTCCACTCACTACAGGAGGGCACGGTAACCTCTCTGAAGCTCAACAACCTGTGAAGTAGAGATTGGCAATGCCAGAGCAGGAATGTGATCTCTGGGTTCAAGTTGAAGGTAGATAGTGAAGGAGAAAAACACTCAAAGTGTTTTCTTTTCCAGAAATTCACGTTTCTTATTATTCTTACATTGCTTTAATCCATGTATTGTGGTAAAAGAATACGACCAAGTATTTTCCCATCTCAAAGAAGAGTTCCCAAAAATTGCCCATTCAGTACTGCTTTGGAAGACTCATTTCCCAAAACTAGTATAATTTCCCTACATATTTAAATACATTTCGCATATTACATAGTTTTATGAACCCCTATTTCCTTGCAATTCTATGTACCAGCTAGTGAAAAATTTTGTTACAAAGAACTACATCAGAGTTAATTTTTACTGTCCCTCGGAAACTAAAGGAACATATTTAAAATATTATTATTCCAATAAATTTTAGACCAATATAAAACTTGATCAATAAATTGTTCCCCAAACTTTTCTGTTCTCTTTCTTTTAATTAAGAAAGCAATTCGTATCCTTAGTCTTAGATGTTCATGACTTTATGAAATTGTAAGTTATGTTATTGCTGGAAGTGTCATCCTGAAAATGAATTGTAAGTGTTACATTCAGCACAAGCAATCACATGGATTTGGATTGAATCCTTCAAAGCAACCTTGTGAAATTCGAATGACATAGTACGAGATATGAAACAGTTGGAAAGAACATGCTTTATTCTAGAGACACAAAGCAAACATATTCCTTAAAATAAAAACTATCCATTATAGCAAAAGATACCAAGAATTAGAAACAGAATCAGAAGGCAAAGTGATACCTAAATTTTATTTCACTAAGCACACTGAGTAATATACCCTTACTTTCCCAGACAGATTTTGGGGAAGAGAAGAAGAACACATTTCAAATCGTACAACATTAGGATATGCCATTCTTTATTATGTATAGAAATTTGCATTTATACTGATTTCCTATGAACCTTTGATATACTCTCTAATAAAACCCAAGAATGTAAAATAATATCAAATAGGATTATGAGCTTAAATTTTGGATTTTTGTAGTATCATAAAAAAGACTAATTATTGATTTTTTTTTGTTCCCAAATACTGACTCTGTACCAGAGAGTCCACCATATGCCAGACTTTCTTTAACTGCTTCATGTGGATGGAACAAAAGGAGAATAAAATCATCGAGCTGGATGTCACAAAAGGCATGTGTTTCCATTCATAAAGTATTTCTCTAACCCACACAAGCTATCCTTTGTCATCTGGATCTGCCCCATTTTGAAATTATTTTCTGCTGTTAATGAGAAGTGACTACAATTTGATTAATCTCAAACATGTGTCACACATAAACAATGTAGAGGGCTGAATTCAATTATTATCCTCTTAGACTGTACATGATGTTCATAGGAAGAACCATATACATTGTTAAAGAAACATGAAGTCCCATCTCATTACAGCAAGGATATCCTTAATACAACATCTTCCAGTTCAGTTGAAGTGTTAAATTCACAGAATAACCTACTACAGTCAGTTCCCAAGATGGAAATGTTTAAATGAAGTGAGAGTCTCATTTCTGGGATCTATCTCTCCACCCTAAAAATTCTCTTGGTACTGTACCTGTTTTGTTTAACTCTTTCCACCAAAGCCACTCAATTTCAGAAAGTTGACAGTAGACAAATACATGTTGACCGAGCTAAGAAAGGGAAAGTTTCAATTAACAAGAGGAAACATCTCTTTTGCTTAATTCAAATTATTCATCATCATTCTTAATTCATCATCTCTATTTTAGGATATATACTAAAACATTCATTTTTCAAAGTGCTAATTAAATTTACACAAATGTAGTAAGCCTCTAACCACATTATAGGAAGAAAACTTATATGATAAAGTAGATGTGATTTAAGAAACAATGATCCCATTTAGGTATTTCTGTCCAACTTTCTTACAAAAAAAAGTGTTTTTCTTTCTTATTACACAGCCTGCAGTAATAAGTGAAATATAATCCTAATTAATTTCCCCCCCAGCTGTATATAAATCAATAGCTGCAGCATCCCAAAGGAAATGCACACTGCATGGTCCTGCAAATTCCTAATGAATGCAAATAGAATGACCTTTTTCTGACAACTATGAATACTGTTACACAATTTTACCATTAAAATAGCTGCTATCAGCAATTCATTCAGTAAACAGCAAGCAAACAATAGTTGTAAATAACTATTCATTACAGTAAAATATAATAAAAAATCTCGTTTGAATTTATGCAGCTTTTAAGCCTTGAGCCTGATTTTTTTAAATTTTATTTTTATATGGAAATTCAGTCACCAATGTATCCAATCTCCATTCTACTTTAATTGTCTCTGTTCTGGAAGAAAATGGCTTTATGTAATTTTATGGTAGGTCATTTAAAAAAGGATTTGACTTAGACATGTTATCATGAATGAAGTAGATCAATGAGCAGCTTTATAAAGCTCTAATCACACCATTGAACTTACCAGAAAACTGTGATTATATCCCATAGGAAACATCCTTACGCAAACAAATGTATGGAAAATCATATTGCCATAACATAATGCCATCTGTGTGATGAACTTGTAGAGAAACTGAAACATAAAAACAGACTCCTTAAGGTTGACATCTATGGAAACTTGAGGAAAACAACAGATTAAATTCTATTCTTGCCCATTTTGACTACTGGATTACCTAACTCTAAAGTATAATAAACATACAAGCATGTGTATAGACTGATATTTTTTCTCTCAATATTTCAATAAATTCATGATAATTTCTCATTAAGTACAAGGGATTATAAAACAAAGCTTAGAAGAATTTTCAAATGTAAAACCAAATTATTCTGGTCATAGATTTATGACTAGAAAACACTTCTGAGTTCCTAGGATCCCAATGTAGTTAGTCACTAGTGATGGAGGAAGGTCATTGGTTAAAAAATAAAGAAACTGCCTTGGCCCATTTTATTGGTTAGAACATAGGTGGGTGGAGTAAACAGAACAGAATGCTGGGAGGAAGAGGAAGTGAGCTCAGAGAGGCTATGCTCACCTCTCCCTGGCAGACGCATGCGATGAAGCAAGCCGCCAGGTCAGACATGCTGAATCTTTCCTGGTAAGACCGGTGCTACACAGTTTATGAGAGATTGGTTGATTGGGATATCAGAATTAGCCAGTAAGGGCTAGAGCTAATGGGCCAAGCAGTGTTTAAAAGAATACAGTTTGTGTATTGCTATTTTGGATAAAGCTAGCCTGTGGCGGGCGGCCGGGTGCCAGGAACATAGCCCCGCCGCTCCTATTACTACACGCTAGGATACAAGCACTGTCAGTAAAGTAGGACTATCCAAAATGCCAGTAAGTTTCCAAAGAGTCTCTGGAAGTCTTCCATCATATGAAGTTCACAAGAACACTTCTGTTTTGTAAATCATTTTACACCTCTAAATTGTACTGTCATCTACCATACAATAGTTATTTGACATCCTAACTGGTTATTAATGAGTTTATATAAGATCCCTTTATAGAGAAGTTTTACCTTGCTTCAAAAGTTATCGCACAACTATTTTAGTGTAAAATGAACTTTCTACACTTTCAAAAGCTATAATTATTTCAAACCTATTCAAATAACTTTTAGAAACAATTCTAAAAGTATTTCTGCACTTTGTTTAACAACATCACCCATAAAAAGCAGTATTTTACTCCACTAAACATTCTATAGTTGAGAACATCTGCAATGCTTGTACTCTCACACCTGTGATGCCTTCATGTTCAAAATGAATCCCTGCTACATCTCACTCAATATTGATCTGCAAAGCATTTCTCCCGATCCTTTTCCCAGTGTGGTCACTGAACAGTATCAGAGTTCAATAGGAAGATCAGCTGCTCATCCGCTTTTTACTAAAGCAATTTGTATTATGGATTTATTTTAGCAGTCTACAGTGGCAGCTGCTGTTTTTACTATTTAAATGCTTTGATTATTTGACCTCACTTACTTTATCTTTCTAAGTGCTTTGCATGGGCTTCAACATTTGATCAATAAGTGGGGATTCCTCTACAGGGTTATATTGAAATCAAGCTCAACTCAGGGTTCCTGTGTCCTAAGTTTATTATTTGATCTGTCTTATCGTGTTTTTATTTTGAAAAGTTTAAAACTTAATTATGCAAGCAAATTTCCGTTTGGAAAGTCATGCAATTAATTAAACTAACTCTGAGTTTTATATATCAATTTTTTTCATTGTATTTACTCAAAAGAAATAATTTCTAGAGAGTATTGCACTGTAAAAATATTTAGTTTATTATATAAGAACAAGATAATCATATGTAAGGAATGGGAATGCTGTAATGTTCTATAGTATTGATAATAACTGAAACTTAAAGGACTACTTTTATGTATAGAATTTGAATTTCATGGCATGTTCTACATCAAGATTTCATATTTATCTTTGCAGTATTATGACATATCTGTGATGATATTTGACATCTGGTTGTCTTTACCCACTTACTTTGAGCTAGTCATTCCAAAGAATCCACCAAGTGCATTACAGCACTAAGTTATGTAGTATTAACTGTAATGAAGCAGAAAAAATTTTGGTAAACTAAGGAAAATCATTTAAAATATTAAAATGTGATGCTTAAGTATTATTTAATTACTTTAGAACAAACTAATGAGTCAATGAAAAAAATTTAAAAACGTTATCAATTATTAAAATTATCAATAGATGTGTCTTTGAAAATAATTATGAAACAGGTGACGAGACTGAAGATCATAAAATATATTTGAGAATGAGGAAAAGTTTTATTCAAGTAAAGGTGATGTTTCACTCTTTAATTTGGACTGCATAAGAAGTTATTCATTTTGCATGCTTTGAATACTTTTTAAATCGTATCAATGAATGTTTAGAGCCAAATTCTATATTATTTATAAATCCTATTAAAATAAAAATATATCCCCAAATTAGCTAAAACAAAGAAATTTCAGAGTATGTCTGTTGTACTAAACTGTTCAATTTGCTGTTGCCTTTTATTGTGATTCCATCATGTTTTAAGTCTTTAAGTTCATCTAAAAACTTGAAATATTGAAAGTTTACCTTTTCACTATCTTTCCTAAGTAGTGAGACTTTCAAATTTAAAAATGTAGATATTAATAAAAAGAGTGTTGTGTATTGAATAAAATAAGAGTATTTCACAAATCCAAATAAACTTTCAATATCTATCCTCAATCTTATATAAAATCACTTTGAAACATTTTCCAAATATGAGAATTTGATAGGAACTAAGCAGTTTGCTTCAGAGATCACAAATGAAAAATAACAAGAATATGAGGTAAACAAACAAATAACTAAATTCCCAATATTTGCAAATGTTCATCTGTGAGAATATAACATTTTCTGGATAAATACAAAGCAAACATTCTGAACTGCAGGAGGGTTACATTCATCTCACAATTTTGGAAATACTGGTCAAATTGGTGGTTCAGGAACTCTCCTTTTAAACTATGCTATACACTATTTAACAACAATTTTTCTTCTTATAATGAATAACATGTCATGCATACATGAATACAAACAATACATGAATACATGCATACATGAATACAAACAGCAAACAATTCATTTTCACAAGTACATGCACAAATTTAAGGTAGAAAATTTAGAATTCTTAAGTAAGAGAAGAGTGAGCAAAAAAAAAAAGTTTAATTATCAACCATTTTCTCTAAAGACATTTCCAAAAAGCTGCTCTAACAGCTTCCTTTTAAGGTGTGTTGGAGAGGAGTACTTGGGAGAAATCATTTTCTAAAAGTTATGCATTTCTGCAGAATACAGCCCTAGCAGTGCATACTCATACTTTTTCCTCACGTGGGTAAACGTTAAGGGAAAAGAATCCAAGTTTCATGATACAACAACACAAAGCTGGGAAGTGAAAATTAGGTTGCAGTGAAGTCCTGGAAATATGACTGTAAAAGTTAATCAATAAAATGTCTATTTCTGTCTATTCACCGGAGGCCCCAGCTGCATAGCTTCACTCAATCGATACTACAAATTATTACGATTTCCAGCTTCCCACTGGATATTCAGAACAAATCTTTCAAGTGTAACAGGCTTATACCAAGTGCATGGTGTGTGTTCTCTATATTTACTTCAAAAGGAGTAGAAGAGAAAGGGAATCCTTCCTGGATGGTCTATATGGATTCAACTTTTTTTGCTTTCAAAAGCTTAGGGTCATTTTTTATTGCTTTAAAATTTAGATTACCAAAGTTTTGCATGCATCTTTTTTTCCAGTTTATTTTGCATTTACCAATGCATTAGTTAACCTAGAAATGCATTTTGGTAGTATGACAGCCAGGCTGTTTGGTAATAAAGGAATTAGCTGTCAAAAACTCTCCCAGATACAAGATGGGTATTAAGAAGATAAATATAAAATCTTGACATTGTTTGTGCTTCAAAATATAAATTCTTATTATTGTATTTTATGACTTGTTAAAAACACTTAAAATCAAGTTTCATGTTCCATCCCCTCTTTAATAAACAATAATAAACCCATAAATTCAGAAGTGATTGCATTATTTGAAGAAATAATACTCTCAAGCTCTGTTTTCAAGTGAGATCCTCTGAACTCAGCCCTTATCTCCTTTGCAGAAATGAGTCATGTGCTTAGCTAATTTTTTTTTATCTTTGTTTTACCTGAATTACCTGGTAAAGATCCACTATTCTTCAGAAAAGGAATTGCTATGTTAAATGAACTCATTAAAATGCTTGAATGCCTAAGTGACTGAGTTTATCCTTCTGCTGACAGGAAGACAGTACAATGTCTGGTGCCAATGGAGCCAAACCTGTGGTTAATTCCCTCAGCTCCTGCCACCTGTAGATCAAGCTGGCAAAATCAGAGAAACCTAATTCTCTACTGACTTGTCCCCTAGGGCTATGTTTGTTTGGTATTAAAATTTGGGACATGGTTTTTACACATTGACACCTTCATTAAACATGAATACATACTTTGTAATGTGAACTACAATTTTCATTGTTATTGTTTAGTTGCTAGTTTTCAGAAAAAGGAATTAGGTATGAGGAAGCACACCTAGTGCTGTAGCCCCAGCACTAGGGAAACTGAGGAAGAAGAAACACAAATCCAAAGGCCATCCTGAGCTACAATACAAGATATGTCTCTAAATAAAGTAAAAAGAGTAAAATAAAAATAACAAAACAAAAGTGAGCTTCATTTCTTTATGAAAATACCAAAATACAGATGACAGTTGTCAGGTTTGAAATTTTCCTTGTAACATGGTATAATTTGACTCTGAAAAATATTTAGTTATTCATCAATGAAATGTTTTAAAAGGAATCACTATACCACTTTTATTTCTTATCTAATAATTGTAAACAACACAAGAGTTTCATATAAAAAGAAAGAATCCTTTGGTTAATTTTACATCAGCTGACTTGTCCAATTAAACAGAGAACCTTAGGCTAAGCAAAGAGAACTTTACCTTGGCCAGTCACTATACTTAAATCAGATGAATCATTTTCCATTTATTTTCCTGTGAAATCTAAGTGAATCTTTATAGCCTGCAATTTTGACCTGTTATTGGGTTGTTTTGTTTGTTTGTTTTAATGTGATCTCTACTTTTTTGAAATTATAAGTTTCACTTTTCTAATATTAAGCTCATATAAACATCACTGTCATCCTCTCCCATGTTTTCTGTTTTCTAAGATATCCATATATCATTTTCTTAATATAATGTATTTTTAAAAGATCATAATATTTATAACATTTGCCTATTACTTTATTATTTGCAAAGATACTTGTCTAGCACACCTCTTTTCCTTAGTACCACCTCTACTTTCTTATCATTTGTTAAATGTAGCTTTTCTTTGTATCAATACTAATATCTGAAACATTAATGGAAACAGGATTCATTAGAGAGTTTCATTTTACTTAGAGGTATTAAAAATGTTGATCTACATTGTGGAATTATTTCTTTTAATTTTAGTTTTTGAAAGTACTAAACCTTTGGATAGATAAACAAAAATAAAGTCATTATGTTAAAATTTTATTTTATCAATAGTAGTCCGATTTATCAGTAAGTTGAAAATGCTATATATTGATATGGGGTACATTAAGTGAGTTTGTGAACTGACTTCCAAGGATCGGTTAATATCAAATACACATTTCAGTTTGGCCTCAGGACTGTGTTTAATGATGAATGAAAGAAAAAAAATGGTTTAAAATGTGTATTTTATCTAACTGTGACTATTCAATATAATCCAGCTTCGGTTACCAAAGTATAATAGTATAATACTTGAGAGAGAGGCAGGGAAGAAGGGAGAGAATTTATGTAGATTATGGCATTTTCATTATGATTTTTAAATAACTAAATACAATCAAGAAAAGGAAAAGACAGAACACAAAATCAGGAAATACGTCAAAATATTCTGTGACATATATTTGAAAAATAAATGATAAAATCAGAACTTCTATACCCTATATTAGACATGCTTTTTAAATAAATGTTTAGCTGATCAGAACAAGAAATAATCCTCAAAACGTTTTTCTAAGAACAGTTTTTGTGACTGCTTCAAAGCCTGCCCAGACGTTCTATTTCTTTTCTTCATAGTCCTTCCAATGCTTCAAATGTCTGTGCCCAAATTCTGCTCTAGATGTCCCCTGATTTAATCGCCATTTGCTTAGAGCAGCTACTTTAACAAAAAAAGAAAGGCAAACAGAGCCATATGTAACCTTTGGTCTCTAAAATCTGTAAGATGAGACGGCCCCTGGCAGGTAGGTGCTCTGGAGACACAGCCCATCTCTCCTCAGCTCCCACCTTGGCCATATCTGTGAACGTTAACAAGAAAGTTGACTGCCACACCATAGATCAGAAACTGAAAGGGGGCATTTCCAGTTTTCATTATGTGCCATAATAGTTAAGAAATAAGGCAAATTTCATGTTTTTCTACTCTGTAACCAACACCATATTGACTAAGGTAGCAAATATGCTCAAAGCCATTTGCACGACACAGAGTAAAATTAAGCATTTAAACGAACGTTAAAGATTTGACTTGATTTCAGCCTGTAAAGTCAAACTTTGTGAAATACTGAAAAACAACTTACTTGCAGTCATTTGATTCCTCTGCAGAAGCCATAATTCCCTCTGTCACTGTCCTCAGCTCGGCCTGGGGTTTCTACTGTTCTGTTCTTGGCGGAGTCTTGTTCGCCCGGCCGCTCTTGAGCAGCTTTCAAGCTGGATTCCATTAGAAGAAGTTTTTCATCTTGACTGGCAAGTTCTAGCTGAAAGATAAAACAAGAAAACTGGTTAAACACACACACACACAGAGAAAGAGAGAGAGAGAAACTGTTTTGTTTTACCTTTTTAATGTTTAAATTTAATGCAATATAACTTTGAGAGAGATTTAAACAATTTCTTGTCAAATTGCAAGCGCTTACAAGTTTCAAACTTCTACTTAAAGTACTTAAGGAAACAAAGGTATGTATTGAGCACTTGAGATTAATGCCCGAATCTCAGATTCATACGTTATTTCAGTTATGAAATTACATGGATTAATCAGACAACAAATTATTGAGAATGGTCCTTCTGTTACTATGTAGTATTAAAAAAATTATTGATATGTAGAAATCTTATTCTTTCATTAGCGTAGGTTTGAAGCATAAATATATCCACACAAACAAAAGCAAATTATATCAAAAATGACCTTTATTTCTTCTGGCGTATTTTCAGTGTTTATGAAATATACGTACTTTTCAAGGTCATCCAATAGATGGCGCTATCTCATTGAACCAAGAAAACAGCATGCTTCAAGTTCTCAAAAAATAAGTGATTTAAGACAAAGACATTTTTCCTTTGTTCTTTGTTGACCGTGTTCCCAGAGATATATATCTGTGCATTTTGTTCAAATATTTTCCCTCTATAAAAGTGTTTATCTGATTGTATTTTTATTTCCTCAACTTTATATTATCGAATGTAAATAATAACACACATTATAGACTTTCTAATATTATATATTTAAGCATATACTTATACATTATGTTACATGGTACATTTATGAAACTCTCTTGAATTAAGTTTAGATATCTAATACCTCCCCTTAAACAAAATGATATTTTATGAAAATCATTAATTTTAATCTTGGAACCCCAAATGAAGAGGACAAGAATTAATTTTTAAGAGCTATAGATCAAAAAGAAATAGCAGTAAATGCTGGAATAATTTTCATAAAAGGAGTATCTTTCCCATTAGTAATTTTTATATTGTGTTCGTGCTCAAAAATAGCATTTATCTTAAGCAACAATAAAGTTGTGAATAAAGATATTATGGTCTCACATCAGAGGTATCTTTTACAGGCAACCTCATAAAAAAGCTACTACATATAAATATTCTGCATTTATCACTCATCTTTGAAGTTAAATGATGGCTCTGAAAATGTAGTTCTAAAAATATGTGGCTGTCAGTTTCTCATTTATAGACTGTGCTACAGAGAGCTTATATTTCACTAGGTATGTACATGAATGTTTGCATTATTTTCTTGCAAGTGTGCAAAATGGCCAGTTTTGCCCCAGAAGAAATTACAGCTTCTAACGTTTTTATAGCTTAAACCTGCTATATATTAACAGTTTAAATTTGTGCCTAAGGAAATCGCAGAGCTAACGCAAACAGCTAAATATTTAACAAGGAAGAATGCATCACCCAGAGCTCATCTTTATTAAATTTCAAATACATCAGAATCTCTCTTGGACAAATGAGTTAAATGTTTAATAATTTTAACACATGTTAAAATGTAGGAGGGAAAAATCCACAAAGATCTTGTCACAAGTGCTTTCTCAAAATTAAAACAACCAAACTAGATCTTTCAAGCTTAAAACAGCTTGTCACTAATACCTTCTATGCTCCTGACCAGTGAGAAAATGCAGCTGAAAAAAACAGTAAGTATTTTTGTATTGATGTGATTCTAACATTGTCCACATTTTGGGATAAACAGTTTAAATGCAATAAGTGATTATAGACCTTTCCACCTTTCTAGAATCCGACATTCTATTAAAAAAGAAAACTACACTATAACTTCTTAAGTGAACTGTTGAGAAGAATTTTTAGACAGGAAGCAGAGAGGGTTTAAGTTAAAAGGATTTGGCTATATCATGCTGTGTGCAAATCAGTGATGATTAGTGCAAACTATTTTAGGGGATATTTGAAGACACTCCTTGTATATATAAACTGATTTGCGTTTGCAAAAAACAACTTGGGCCAAATATTTTTTAAAGTCTTTTGTCAACTATGTATGATGTGACTTTTGCTATTTCAAAGCAACTAAGAGATTTATGTGTGTGGGTTTTCCTAAGAGTCTACTCCAAGTCTTTATGTGCTGGTTAAAAAGGGGTAAATTATTTTAAGTTTACCTATGCCTTGAATTTGAGCCTGAGTTGATCCCAAGCCAGAGGCACTCACAGCTGCATGCTTTATTTACAATCCCTTTGTCAGACTTACAACTGCCCCAGGCTATAACATAGTGTACCTAATGTTCACACTGGCAGGTAATCTCATGTCAAACATACTTCTTTGATTTAAAGTGATCAATAGATTCTTGTAAAGAGGTAATTTCTCTGATGTTTCCACCTTGCCTTTCTTACAGGTGATTCACACAAAAGCCTGCTTATATGATGTACGAACAATAAACAGAAAGCTATAATCATGTTTTTTTCAGATGTTTCCGGTGCACAACGATTTTGGATCGATACACTGTGTAATACAATTATCTGCAATGATCTGGTTGTATTGAAAAAGAATTTGCAGGAGACCTCTAGGGGGTTTTATCAAGAAACATGTATCTGGCAACATAGTGAACAGAGGAAGGAAAAATTAAGGGATTGACAAAGGCCTCCTATTATATTCCCAATAATTATATTAATATTTTAGTTCAAAAAAGTGGTTAGCACAAGGTTGAATCAAACAATATCTCAACTGTAATAATGATAATATTCATTACTGCTAATGCAATGAACCCTCATCAAAAAATACAGATGCATCACAGACTGCAGGCAGTATCAATCTTATGAAAATTTTTTCTCTTTAGCATAAATTGTACAGACCAATATTCAATGGTACCTAAATGTCTATTATTATTATTATTATTCTGTTACTTTTACTTAAATGGTTAAATAATTGACTAGTTACTAATTTTAATTTGTAAATAATACTGTACCATGAACAACTTTCTTTCTAAATGAAGATTCGTAACTGAGGCAAGAGTTGACATGAATTCTATGTGGCTGAGAGGGTAAACATATTTTCTGCAAATATGTCAGTCCTCGGAAACAGCTCAGCTTTTTTTTTTTAATGGTTTTTCAAGAAGATTCTGACTCTTTACAGCATATACCTTACTGACTACAGACATACACATTTCCTATTTTGAGCTTCCAATCATATATCCCAAATGTGAAATTCTCTTTAGTTGTGCTGGAATTCATTCACACTGGGGCATAGTTCCCAACGTAGGATGCACCATTTCTGGTACAGAGGCCGGCTCCGTGAAGATCTTGCAGTCCTCACCTAGCAGGCTCTCTTTCTGGAAGTTTTCCTCTCTGGGCATATTAGGTACTCTCCTGGTCACAAGGGCCCTCTCTTTGCTTCTCCTCACCCTTTGATTGTGACAGGTCTGTGTGCCTGTAGGAGTCCAGCTTCTGGTGTTCTTAGCAAGTAATATCTTTTGCATACTGCCTGAGAAGACAAAGAGAATTCCAATAGTTTCTTTTATGATGGAATTTCTATACTGCATCCTGTTATTTTGAGCTATAGGATGCTGGAGATTACACAGCACTTCATTAGAAACTGGGTCAAGTATCCACATCTTTTCTAAGATCGAAAAGAGTCACTATAAAAAAAAATTAGTCAGTTAGAGAGAAGATTCACTGTTAGCTCCAATGCCGTATTAATCAATACATAAGAGCTCAAAGGCAAATAAATTATTTCCCATAATTCTTAGAGAATGAAAAGAGAGACTAGTTGGATCAAAATGAATCCGTTCTCTTTAAAATATGAAAAGAATTTAATGAATACAAAAGGTGTATTTAATCTCTTTGAGTTAACACCCATGTAACTCTTTCATTTAGCTCCAAAGAAGCTACATTAATGTGACACATGAGGAGATTCCTCCACCATGAAGATAATTATGACGCCCTCCTAATGAGTTCTCCACACCACTTAAACTCATTAGCTTTATGAGAACACTTTGTTTGCCATTTTCTTTTTCAGCTTTATTATCTTTCTAGCACATGATAGCTCTACCACGAATACGAGTGAAGAAATATATGGAATATAATCAAAGACTGGAATTATAAACAAATGTGATCCCCTAATGGAAATTTCTCTATACTCTGCGGGTTCTGTTTTCATGTCCATCGATATGGTACTCCTGATTTTTTTTTTATTGGCTCCCTGCCACACCTTGGACTCTCTGTCATGCTCCATCATGCTTCTTTTAATCTGAATATTTAGTGTTCTTTTCATGTCTTAATTACAGCAAATTGCAGCACAGTTGGCACCGTTTCTTGAAATTAATCCCAGAGTACTTTGTTTCTGTCAAGGAGTCAAGGCCTTGGAGAATAATAGTAAATGTTATTGCAGATCTAAATTTAAATGACTGTCTATGTATTTAACTTAAGCCTTTAATTATTCCTGCAGAACTGTTTTTGGTTCAAATGTTAAACATTATTCATTGAGAACATAAAATTACTTGAGACAGCTTAAAACCCACAGATATGTGTGCCTATAATTTTAACACAACATTTATTTACATTAACCTATTTTCCTTGGTGTACAAAACTTAGTAAATGGTATGCAATGCAACACCTTTGGGGTGTGTATCACCCCAAGTATCATTTCTTTAGGGATTATTCTTATTCATCTCCTTTTCCAAATTACTTTTCTTTAAGGAATGCCAAGTATAAGCTGGATTCAGTTATCTCTCCCTATTAAATAGAGATAGGAAAATATTTCAAAAGTTCTTACAAATGTGACAGATTATTTGTTATATGTGTGTTTTGTCATGGAAACTCAAATGTCCAAGAACTCTCAGTAGTTAGCTCATTTAGTCCCAAATCTGAAGCAGATCTACGAAACTTCATATTCTAGGAGAATGCTATGCTTATGTTTCAAAAGTCTAACCTAGAATTCATAA